AGATGCGCTTCTTGCTGGGGTCAGTGATCTGAGTGACCGCACCTGTCTACCTCGCCGCCTGGCAGATAGGTCGCCCAAGCCTGAGCAGCCGGTAATTTCGAACCAAAAAAGGTCAACAAGGAACATTTTACACGAAGCTCATAGGACGTTTGTCACAAAACCAGGTGATGATCGGAGACTCAGGGCCTTGTTGGCTATGCATAGCCTGAGATGCATGCTGTCAGGATAACGATGAAGTCCAGCCAGTTCCACGCCTTGGCTGTGTTTCTGGGAATGCCAGAGACCACAAAACAGACCCCTGTTCCAGACGGTACAAAACTTGGGAAGGGGCTAGTTCGGTCATGCACCTACATGCGGGCCCTGCACAACCACAAACCCATGGTCAACCCTGGCTCAAACTTTCAGGGCGCGGCATCGCGAAGATAGGAGTTTCTGTCCCAGAAGAAGCCCCAGGCTACGACCTGGGCCAGCGAACTTGCAGAGCAACAAATTCTTGGACGCTGGGGAGTCTTCAGCATACAGGGTGCCCTTTGGCCGCCAGGGTAACGGGTGATAATGGGTGTAAGCAGCAGCTTTTCTGATGCTGTAGATAATCTTCCCAGCCTTCAAGATGCCCTCCAGCGTGAAGAAGACCGTGAGCCAAAAGTCCAAAATGTTGTTGTAAAATCCATTGAAACCTGCAAAGGATCTGAGCACTCACTCATGTCCGGATGCACCATGTCAAGGACCAACACCCCCCTTGGACCGCATCAACGATCAGTATACTGCAGCATCAGCATGCAAAACTCAGCATCCTGTGCCTATATTCGCGTCGCTGCGCCAGTCAACTATTGCGAGGCCTGCACATCATGAAACAGACATCAAGCACGGTGCAGTCACCATGGTTGCCACGTTTGAGCACTGATCAAGATGACAGTTGCCTTCGTCAGAAAAGAAATACGTAGTCCTGAACTTAAACAGGAATGGACTCAACCGCCTGAGAAATTTCCACTTGCACTTGAGCACAAGTCACCAAAACCAGCCTATTGAATTCAGAGCTATGAGAAATAGGATGATCCGGTCGAACCACACCTCAGCGCTTCGGAGCAGAGCTTTCTTGCCCTCCATGGGTAGGGGCGTTGCCCGTAGCGTTGGCCTGCCTAGATTCCTCCAGACTGTGGGACTTGAGGATGTAACGCTCTTAGGTCAGATGGGGGAAGCTAGTGAACAGGCCAAGCTGACCACTCCTCCTACGCCAAGTCTCATGCTTCCTGCGACAAAAGCATGCACACAACAACAAGATATAGGTACAGCAGCCAGTCTGACTCCTTATGACCAAAAGCAAAGGTGTCAAATGGAAAACGAGGCGTGGGCCCAGCCAACCAAGCTCATCACCTGCACAGTTGTCAAGCACGGCCATGGAGCACAGAGTGCAGCCCTTTTTGTGGCACGCTTTTTTTTGAAGAAGACATATATCTATATAATGAAGACATAGTCCCAGCACGCTTTAAGGGCCCACTAGCGGTGCCCTTAACTCCAAGGCCAAGCCTGCCGTCTTATGCAGCCATTCACGCCGAAGATGAACAACGACTTGTTGCAGATCTGCCAAGAGTGATGGTTCAGGGCATTAAGGTTTGGAGAGGTTTCCATACATGAGCGGATCCAAAAAAATGCTGAAAATCGGATTAATTTTGAATCAAATGCAGGCACTGTACAGAAAAGGAATGGGATGTGTCAGAAAACCGGACCCCAGCCATCATCTGTCTCAATTTCTGATACTTGATGACTGAGGCCAAAACATGCACAAGAAGACAGCAGTGATGCAAGTTCTCCTGTAAGCTGCAAACAGAGGAAAACACCTAGGTTCTAATCTCAGGACGTTTCTATGGTTCCTCATGACCCCTGCAGCTCCATAAACAGCCCATCCTAACCCCAAAAACCTTGGAGATATCGGAAGCAAAAACTTCCACAGCTGGGCAAGGCCTGGAAGATCTTGCCGTGCACGCTCACCTGGGCTCTGATACTTGGGCTCTTGAGCACATGTATTTGGTCCTATTTTCTAAGGAGAAACATCCCGCCGCAGGGCTTGTTGTCCTGCGATTGGTGGAAAAATGCTGCTCTTACCTCCGTTTAAACACAGGGTTTTCGCACTATTTCGGACGCAGAAGTATGTCAGGCAGGAAATGACTCAGGAGGCACGGCCTTTGTTGGTACTTACTGGCTCTTCAAAGCAAAGAACGTTTTCTGAGGACTCGGAATTTTGTGGTTTTTGGTATTCGTAAACGTGGTGGCCCTTGTTTTCCTCTCACGCTCTCGGGCATGGACGTTACTGTGATTTGGGTATGCATTGTCTGGGAATCATATACTCTCAGAATGACAATGGATGCTCTGGGAATCGTATGCTCTGAAATATCTGAAATGGATAAGATGATGGTTCGAGCATGGGTGCGAATCGTATGCTTAGAAATGGATGATATTGCGGTTTGGGCATCCACCCATGCCCGTGAGAATCGTATGCTCTTGTGGACGTTACTATGGTTTGGGCATGGATGCTCTTGGAATCGCATGCTCTCAAGCATGGACGTTATATGATTTGGGCATGGATGCCCCCGGGATTGTTTCAGCATGGATGCTATGCGAAACGTATGCTCTCGAACATGGACGACACGAACGCTTGCCGATGCCTTGCCGAAAGAGAATGCGGCAAAACGTGGGACGGTCATCAATGCGCTAGCAGAAACATGTACCGCAAGCCAAGTGAGGTTGGGGTTCAGGGTTTGGGGCTGAAGGTCTGGTGCGCCTGATTCTTTGCCGAACCACCTCGCTCTTAGGGCCTAGGGTTGTCAACATGCTCAGGGCAGGTACATACAGCATTAAATGTCCTTCAAATAGCAGAGAAGGGCGCTCATAGAAAAGAGATGCATCATGCAGGATCTTAGGCTGGCCTTTAGCATGCAATGCTGTCATGCTGCGGTGGGCTGAATGCCCAGTTCGGCATTGCCCGGATCTATGATCTCGAAAGCCTCACACAAGTCGACAGATCCAGGCGGTGTTCCCTGTGGAAATCTAGACACACTCTAAAGAACCCATTTCATTTTTGTTGGACCTCTACAGAAGGAACTTCATGCAGCATCGCGGCCTGCTCACAAATTGAGCTGTCCTGTATATGTTCTGTGCAGTTCAAGTGACCTATTCCTTGCTCAGGGGTTTCTTAAGAAGAGCGGGTTCTTTTCCCGGACGTTTATCAGTCCTTCTTGTTCCTCTGGCTAGGTTGGAGACCCGATTTGAAGCAATGGCCACCGGCTCCCAAAGCACGACTGCCTTCTTGGAGTTTCTGCAAACTCTTAGAGACTAGAGCATCTCCTGGGAAGCATTCAGGGTTCTAAATGGTTGGAATAGACTTGTCATGAAACTCTGAACCGCTGCACCCTAACATTAAAGCCCAAGAGCGGGTTCATTACTCCCCCCTGGCCTTAGGCTTTCTTCGGATGCCGGCAGGATGCACCTGCAGGTCGTATTGCTGATAGACGAGAAGGGTTCTGTATGTTGAAACCCGCATGAGGGAAACTGTGTACCTTTGTGGCTCTTGGACGACCTGAATCAGTACCTATTGTGATCAGCAAAACCAGAACTGGGGCACAAACCCGACACCGCAAGCAGGTTTTGCATTCTTTCCATTCCATGTTGGCGTTTTCTCAAATCTACACCCTCTTCAAAATTCTGGGCCCAGGAACGATCAAGCACATACAAAAGCATGATAGAACAGGGTCATACATAAGAGCCGTCTCTGTCAAACATGTGCAGTGCAAGTCCGCAAGCCAACACTGTTGTGTGAGGCCTTCTTGTGTTTTGGCCCCGCTGCGACCCTGGCACAACACTTCAATTGGGGGTTCTTAGAATGGGGATGCCCAAGGGCACGCTGGCAACATGCTCGGTACGGTACTGCAAGCTCCGCCTGCAGGCTGGCAAAAGATGCTTTTCAGTTGACTCCCTAAAGTGATGCAGCTGCGAATTTGCCTGTGCTTCTCTGAGATATGTACATTACTGAGCCTCGCTGTGCTCACGCCCATGTTGCCAAACATGCCAAGTTGACCATCTGCAAAACGCACGCATGCCCAGGTCCACAACTCGACAGCAAATCCTGACAAACGAGGTCAATCACAGTTCTTTGCTCAAGCGCAGCCACTGCACACTGCGCCTACCTACTGTACAAGCGCACATCGCATGTAAGTGATGTCTGTATAACGCGTAGCACGGAAGAACGAATGTCCATGCATTCTCCTGGACGCTGACAGCCTTCAAGGGCTATCTGACGCCGTCAAGGGATTCGGACCTCGTGCCTTATCAAAGCAAGGGCTTCAATCCCTAGCGGAATTTCTGCAGGAAGCATGCATGCTAGGCGCAATGGATGCGCTGAAGCATGGGTCACGCACGAAACTTAGAAAACAAGCATTTTCTAATTGGTCGCCTGCTTGAGAATCAGGTTATTCCGGGGCATAGCACGATCTTGCGTTCATCCTGGAAGCGTATTTTGAAGACCAAGCTGCTGCCAGAAATCCCACGAACAAACCTCAGCGGTTGCATCAGGTGGAATCTTTGCCACATCAAGCTAAGCAGCCCGTGTCACATGGCTAAAAGCCGGCTTCTGGTGAAAGAACTTGATACAAACATCCAAGCCCTGGGACCCTGGCCCAGAGAACACAGGTGAAACAACGAGAGAAAGTGAAAACGATATTTGATGGCAGAGCCTATACGAAAACAAGAGCGGGCTTTGCCCGAAGCCACAAACTCTCTGAATCACGCGATTGCAGAGCCAAAAATGGCCGGCGTCCAAGGTGCAGCGCTTGCCACTACTACAACATGCTGGTTCAGTCAGCTCACAACGAGCTTTCTGACAGTGCCTACTGAGGGCTCTGACAGCTGGACGACATTTTTTTCACCTTGCAGATTTCCAACTCAGTTCCTGTTTTAAAGGCCTTTCCGCAACAAGCGTACCACGGTTCCGTGGTCAAGGCTGGCTGCTAGTCCAGTCCAGTAGGGGAGGCTGTCACAAACTCCTGCGGGTTCACGATGGAGTCGTAGATCAGGTAGAGAATGATGATGATCAATATCGGATAGATGATGAAGTATGGACCTCAACCAGGACCCTACAAGTGTTGCTCTTTCAATTTTCATCATTTTCTTGGACCCCACCAAGCAAGAATTCCTTACCCCACCAAGAGGCAGCTTGCCTCAGTTCAACAAAAAGCATGCGCGCGTGAGATCATTACTTTCCTGGTGCGACGGCTATTTGATTGAGATTCCACTCCAAGAGACTCCCCACATCATAATACCCTAGCTGGCTGTAATCCTCAAATCAAGTGCTAGACCCTGAACCCACATCACTCTGCTTCTGAGCCGAGGAAATCGCCCACAAACTTGTCCACAAAATTTTTGGACGCTTCATCTCGTCGCTTCCAATACCTGGATTGTATCTAAAGCTTGAGTTCAGGATAAAGGACCAGTAGAGCAGGATAGAGCAGGGAATAGATAGGGAGGGGGATGTATACACATCAGTTATTTGACAGCGATTCACTACCAAACATGAGGCATTATCAGGATTTCCTAACCTTTGCACTGCATAGTCCGAAGGGGTGCAAGGTTCAGCTTTAACAGCAACCAGGAGACCTCTCCACCTCCTGCCTGGTGATGCCAACCTGCCCAGGCGGCTTCGGGATTTGAAGGATTCGTTGGATTCACAGGTCAAAAATGGTTCTGGGTGTACGCCGCAAGTTGCAGAGTCTATCTAATTGGCGCGATCACTTCGCCGTTTGAGGGGCACGTCTAGGGTTTTCTGGGCTTGGGGGGTTTGCTGCAAAATGGATTGAGACCCCGCTTGCTACTAATCACACTGTACAAGCACAGGTTGTCAACAAGCTGGAACCCTCCCACTACTGATGCAGTAGAAATGGGTGCCGCTTTCCGCCGTATTTAGCCTCATCTGGAGATGGGCTCTAAATGGGAAATGACTGACAAACCACAAGTTCCACTGCAATGGCTGCTGCGCCTGCTGCTGCTCATGTCCTTAGGGGCTGCAACCACTTGTTGTGAGACAGGTGTCAATGACTCTCGAGGCAGACGCCTCCCATCATAATAGCAGGACAGAGGAAGGGTTGTGACTATTCCACTTCACAACCCAACTCTCGTTATGGAAGTGGACCAAGATATTGGCTCCCCCTGTGGCTTCCAATATGTACAGGTTCATATGCTGCTTGGTGCGCGCTTGAACGAAACAACCTATGCACATCTCCCTTACTCCTTTTCCCTTTGTCTGCAAGTTCAAGATCTCACCTTTTGCGGTTCTGGCTTGGAACCGACCGGAGCCCAGCCTCTTTGTAAACATCGCGCTTGGCAGGTAGAAAATTGGGTCGCTCATCCTCATCACTAGCAGACTTCAACACCTGGCAAGCTTAGGCTTATGGGTTTACATGGGGTTGGGGGGCTCATGGCTGCATGCTGCGTTGAGAGTTTCAATACTCGCGGAAGGTGGCTGCACCAGGCGGCCCTAATTCTCGGATGTTCTTCCTGGTTGGCAGACTGGCAGGGATGATCACAAGCTTGTCAGAATCAAACCGGAACACGAATCAGCCATCAGGCTCTGGCAGCTATGTAACTTTATCGATCTTATTGTACGTTGAGCAATCTCTATACCGTCTATACCTAGTGGCAGCGTGTGCTGTGAATGGGCTGCGGAACCCGTTGGTGTGCTGGAGCCAACACAGGGATATGCACCAGACTATGATCTAAGTTTGAAAGTCCTACAAGGAAACACTTACTTGCGTGCGTCGCTTGTGCTGGTTTGGCTTCACACCAACATGGATGCTGTTACCGTCTGTTACCGTTCTTATGCAAAAGCCATCTGCCCAGGCCTCATCGAGGCTCTTCTTGACAATAGACCTGGACTTCTTCTTTGGAGCCTGACAAACCACTTAGTTCAACCCGCTGTGCGACACTAAATGCCCTATCAACAACTCACCCAGCATCCACTGGTCAGTCCTCCAATCTACGTTCAAGTGATTGGTACCAATTATTCCGATAATATTGCGGATTGAAGATGTGCGCTTGCCATGTGGAGGCTCCCACTTGCTGAAGAGGTGTTAGTGGAGGACATCGGTCTTAATCTCACCTAACTAACCGTAACCCTGAAAACTTTATGCGTGATTTGCAATCAGCTCAGCCTTCAGCTCTCGTCGCTTCAGCTTCTTCCCTGTGGCCTTGTCCACGGCCTTGAAATGAGGGCTAAGGTGTCGCTGCTTAGGAAAATCAATGAAAATAAGATCTCCACTGCGTCGCATGTGTGGCATGTGTGGCAGCCACAACTTGTCACAACCAGGCGCTGACATGATCTGAAATGACAAAGCTCACCCTCCAATCAGGCATCAGTAACATTGACAGTCTTTCACATCCATCGAGGGCGCACCTTTTGCGCACTCTCTGACAAGGCTTCAGGATCTTCATCGGCGTCCTCGTCTTCCATACCCTGGTCCTTCTTCAGCCCCCTCTTTTTCAACACCTCAGCTTGGGATTGAAACAACGCACACACAGCTTTACAGGTCAAGCTCGCTTACCCAAGGCGGGTCGCTCGACTTTAGCAAGCACGTGAACACGTCGTTCAGAAATTTTGCGGAAGAGCCAAGACATATCTGAGATCCGGTCCTCATCAAGCTTATCTGAAATCTCCTGAGCTTTGTGGGCAGTCTCAAGTGCTGGAAACCTGTCACAGTAGCACGCTATGGGGTATGCGTGCGACCACTAGCCAATACTCTTCCGGCCAGTGTTGAGAAAACCTGTACCAAGGCGTATAACTGCCGGCTTCATTTTTTTGTATATGTAGATCACATGTATCTGTCTCTATATACTCCAACGATGTGCTACAACTTCCGATGACCCGCCAAACAATGTTCTGGAAAGAAGCTCAAGCTTCTGCTGGTGGTCCATACCAAGTGAAACATGTGCACGCGTCTGGGATGAAATCACATAGTCCTTCTATACACCCGGTCCTTCTCCTCAGCCACAGTACGTGACTCAGCGGCAGCTGCAACTCGAGACGCGACACCTGCAGAAACCCACACCAAATCAGACCCAATGCCTGCAGGATTTATGAATCTTATGAAGGATGGTCCTGACAACAAGCTCTATGGGTTGACTGTATACTAGAGCAGTCTTCTAAGAGACTGGCCACTCTTAAATACAGCTTCTTGGAGATAACAAGCTCCATGATTACTAAGCCAGGAGATCTGGTTGCGCACACGCACATGTAGCACGCACGAAATATCACGCTACAAACCAAACGACCCTCATATGAATCTTTCTTGCGTCTACATGCTTTCTGCGAGTAATGAAGAGACCTATGTGGGAACAAGGATAGGAACAAAAACACAAGAACCTGTCTCTGCTACTTGAGGGCCTTCCCCACATGCTGAGCCCCCAGCGCGACGGCTGCAAGCCAACAAAGGCGATCAAGGCTGGAGACAACAAGAGGAGAAGCGCACACCTGCTGTGAGGCCGTAGGGTTTGGCACTTAGTGGTTCACAATAATTTCCAGTGTGCTGCTTATGGCACAAACTATTCAAAATGCCTTCAACTCAATTGAGGTTTGGAGTTGGAGCCAAAGTGACCTGACTGGTCGCTCCTTTTGACTCTGCAAGTATTCAGAACTGTAATTGAGCGATCCTAAAAGGACATGCTGAACTGTTAGAGAATAGTTCATGACACCTCACCTGTCAATCCAACACGTGCCAGTCAATGCCACAACAGCCAATCTTCGGGACATCCGCATCGGACGAAGCACGAGAGAAGGTGGAGAGAGCGGAGACTGAAGAGCACGAGGAGGTCACGGAGCAGTCTCCGCTGGCTGCCCAGTATGCCGCTTGGTCACTTTGAGAAGACGCTGAAGGCTCTAGTATGGTCTCACATCTTCGACGAAATTCTCAGTCCCGATCGCTGCTGGCGCGCAATGGTCAACGCTTAAGACAAGCTTTGTACTTGTCAGGTGTCCTTGAAGAGCAGGGTGCCTTCATGAGGAAGGTCGCTTTGGCGCTAGAAACATGAAACAGGTCGAGTGAAACAAATTCAACAGATAACCAACAAAAACCAGAGTCACAAACGCTTTCTGGAGCAAAACTGGAACCAAAGCGAGCACTGAAGGAGCAGTCGTGTAGTCTCACTTTCGCGTAGCTGCCAGCACGCTGTCGCCAGAAGAAGGTTCAGTTTTGTCATTCGCCAACTTTTGCGGAGCTCGAAGCTGATAATATAGAGTGCTCTGCATCCTCACGTGGCCCCCTTGTTTCCCCCCGCACCAGCTGCCTGCCTATCTCAATGGCTTGGCAACAAGGCCAGCGCGGCCGGGCTCAGCACACGCTTGGAATTTTGGATGCCCTGTTGCGTTCCCAGGTAAAGGATCCAAATTTTTCTGGCAAATATCATGGAAAATGAATCATTGCTGTGACACCATGGTGGAAGGAGAGACTCTTTACCTAGACTCTAGACAGCACTCCAGCTGCTTACGGACCGAAGATTCAAAACCAAGTCACCTGAACTTGCCGCTTGAACGGCGAGGCTTGGCCATTTTTGTGCGGGCCCGTGAGTGTCAGAGCAACGGCCAAAACAATCCTGCAACCAAAGCTTGAACAAAACAGTGCAGATACATCTCTGAACGCATGCCTGGCCCTTTGAGATTGTATGTGTGCCTATGGCAGCAGAAACGCATTTAAGAAAGTGAACCACAAGCAGAGGATGCAAACCTTATCTGGGTGGTTTCATTGGAATTTGCCGATTAAAAGGGATTGCGCAAGTGCTTGAGCCGAAAGGATCATCAGCAAGCATCAGCCTGCTGCAGAGCGGCAAATGCCAGCAACACAGGCTGCATGTCAGCACTTGCCCTGGTGAACAAAAAATATTGATCGCAGCTAGCACTCACAGATTCAGAAGCCGCAAATTTTCATGAACTTCAGCAAAAAAACGTAATATTGGACAACCAAGCCGCTTTGCGGCGAGATGGTCTGTCCGTTGAATCACGCGCTTACCCTAGGCTAACATGGGACCTCAACAAATTTGCAACGGGTGTGCTTAACAAATGCATATTGAACATCTGCTACTCGGTAAAAGGCTGCGAAGCAGGATTTGCCAGTCGCAGCTGACGCAAGCCTGAGATCTGTCATTCCAACAAGCTCTCATAGGCAGCTAAGCTAAGAATTACCGGCTGCTTGGCACCGCATGACAACTCTGGAGACTCTCAAAAAGGGAATTCTGTCCATGTTGGGATCATCAGGGGGGCCTTGCAGGGGTAAGGGTCAGTTTAGGTCAACTTCCGGAGCAAAATCCTTCTATAATGTGCCTTGACAATCAGTTGTGGTAGTCACACAGCTATTGCCTTGGGGCATCGCTGGTGCATACTGTGCAAGCCCGGAAAGCCCGAAACCCTTGAATTCCACGCGTATCCTGCTGCTTTTCTAGATGTAGAAGTTGCAGCATCGTAGTAGTAGTAGTAGTAGTAGTTGTTGTTGTTGTTGTTGTAATAGTAGTAGTAGTAGTAGTAGTCGTCGTCGTCGTCGTCGTCGTCGTCGTCGTCGTCGTCGTCGTGGTTGTTGTTGTTGTTG